TATTATTCTGTCTTGTATTAATTTCTAAAAGAAAACAAGAAAAAAATTAATTCTTAGACGGAAGCCGGTGCCCATTGTTCACAGCCACACACTGGTTCTTTAATTGAACTTATCCTTATATGCCAATGCCGTGAAGCTGTGTACTTCTGAGAGAAAATCAACTGAGCTAAGAAAACCAACATCATATGAGACACAAAAACAATTCCTGCTGCCAGTTAATCAATCTGTTTATGTATATAGTATGTGGTGGCTGGTGGAAAATTGTCTTGTTCCAGCAAACATCCCATAACGCATACATTTATCAAAGACGCATTACTACTTTGTAGATAAATATTTAACAATTATTTAATTCTGACATGAAATTAAACTGAATAACACCTATAAAGTATAATAACAGTAAACCTATCAGGACTTCTTATTTTGGCCACCCACCCACACACACACACAAATTAAATATAATATAAATCGTGTTACAGAAAGTGTTAATTTACCCGATAGGCCTACTTGTATTTTTGTTTAAGACAGTGCACACTTCCAGTACTTTAAAGTCATTTAAATCAATCCAGTGTACGTATATGCATGACAATGAAATAGCTCTGTATTCAATTCAATTCAGTTTTATTTGTATAGCGCCAATTCATAATAAAAGTTATTTTGTTTTATTTTTCAAATAGAGCAGGTCTAGAGGACTAAAATGCTTATATCAAAACTGTTGCTTAATATTTTTGTTAAAAAAAATGTACACAATAATGTATAAAATAACAAACTCTCTATTGTTCGGTGCTTCAGTGCAGCCTTTACCTGAGTTACTGAATGAACTGTCTCTATTCTGCTGATTGTTTATTTCTGTCATCTTTTCCGCAGATTACATTCAATAATTACTCTTATTGGCATTTTCGTCATAGGACTTCCTTAGAATACAGGCAGCCAGGGGAAACGAGGTGTAACAATTAATAATTTACCCGGGCGTTTAAAGAAGGGCAGGAAACATAAGGATTTGTACTTTTAAACTATTTATTCCAACGTAAAAGGGGTCCAAAATGTAAACACAAAACAACTTCCTAAAAAAGGAAGGAAGTGAAAACAAACTTAACTAAACATACCACTAATACAATAAATGACGCTATCCCTACACTGAGGGAATAACGGTAACACGTGAGAACCACACAGCTCTGCTTCACACCCGACAGCGACACGACTCTATCTGGTGGTTTTTGGCCCACTGGCCCTGTCTGCTTCTGTCGCTGCAGCTTTAAAGCAATCCTTGGACTCCTAGCAAAACACCACTCTCTCGCAGAGCTTCACAGCTATTTCGAGTTCCAGTACCATTGGCAACTTTTTTTAGGAAGTTCTTCCTCTTGGCTTGAACATCTGTCTCTGTTACAGTAAGGTCGCTGTCTGACAGGTTCTTCAAGTGTTTGTCAGAAAATAAGAAGAAATGTCAGGTGTTTTGCGGTAAGGGGTATGAAGGTGATGAGTTGACATGTTGCGTGTACTATTCCAGTATCGATGAGAAAGTGGCAGAGGTTGAGCAATTTTCTCATACCATTTCCATTGTTATGCTCCACCATCACACTAACTGTGCCAAGTGCACATGTATGCACAAGACTGACTGCAATCAGGTTCATTAAAAAGAGCCAGAACTTACTGCATGATTTTTACTGTGGCTATTTTGTGATTTTTGTTTGTTAGTGATACATCAATAACAGAAAAGAATAAAAAACTGATGTACACACATATAAACAAATATTTATTTGATGACCACATCATTTGTATATATTGGTTTTCATAACATTCCCAAGCTAAGTCCCTACACACTGAGCTACTGCCACCCAAATAATAATTAACCCAGGGTAGAAGAAAGACGGGGAAATAGAATTATGAGTACTAACAAGACGATTTATTAAATGTTTAAATAAAGAAAGAATTCAGTGTTAATAACAAAAACTACTACTTCCTTAAAAAAATAGAAAGTGGAAATAACAATTTTAACAAAATACATGAATTAAACAAACAAAAACCAATCTCACCCTCCCTCCTCTGAGAGAGCAATGACAGTGGCACACACGAACGACATACAGCCGAAACACAGCTCTGTTTCACAAACGACGTACATCACAACACAGCTGGCAGTTTGGCCCACTGGCCTCGACTGCTATTGCTGTCCTTGTTCTAAAGCCGCAAAACACCTGACATTCCTTCTTAGAATGATTGCTAAACTAATGCAGGTCACCTGACCAGTCAGAGGGGAGGGCGATACCTGGAACAGGGCACACAGAACAGAGGCAAAACAAAACACCTGACATTCCTTCTTA